CCAGTCTTGAATTCCAGGTCAACGGCAGAATTAAGCAGCGAAAGCTTAACGTGCCGCAATGCTTGGCACGGTTCGTCCTGCCCTCTAACGTCCTCTGACCGTTACCGTGGCCGCTGCCACTAGCCGCAGGCCATCCTCGTCAGAGCAAATAGCGAACGGCTTAAGTGGTTGAAACCCACCTCGTCACGAGTGGATGAATCGGAAACCAGGCACTCCAAGCAACTGAGCTATAAGTAAGCGCTGGTATGTGGTTTTAACAAGACTTTGTTCGGTTTTGACCTTGCAATGGTCCTTTACTTTCTTATGCTACTATTAAAAACCGTCTAGCGCTTTTATACGCAATACCGTCGATTATTTAACAGAGCAGAGCTGTCTGCTGAGATCGGCAAGGTAACAGCTACATGCATTGTTTTCGCCACGCATTATCTTCGGTGGATTAATTTGAAACCAGCCAAAAATTGGCATTCGGTTTAAAATTGTGAAACTCTGGCGTAAAACGCTTACATCAGCCGTGAAGTTTCACGAACGAGGGCCGCAAAAGAAAACGTTGTTGCTGCATTGGGGTAAGCAATTCGGGGGAGTTATATAAAGGAAAACGAGCGACATTATAACGGTTCTGATGCCGTGGTAAGTGTAGCATTTGTTGTATTTCTTTTTGGGTTCTGTCCGGCTGGGTTGTATATTTGTGCTGTAAGTTCCCTGCCGCAACAACTTGCAAGAAATTCCTTATCCATGTGGGGGGAAATGGAGCGACAGCCAGACCAGTAAGAAATTAAGATTAGTTTAGTTGGTCCATGCATTTTCATATCGGTGCACTTAAGGTTCTGGCAAATTCAAACTTAGTTGATACAAAGTGCATTGATTAGACATGTCAGGTGCTTTGAACCACCTCTATGTGTTTGTGCACGCAGTGTAATCTGAGGGCAGGAACAACGGCGCGCCGCGAGCATTGCTCTCCAATCGTGCTGTCGAATGGAAGAACGCCAGGCCCACAATTCAGAGGTACTGGACTTTAACCCCGCTACAGGCGCGCTGTTCTCGCCGACTGTATTATACACACACACACACACACACACACACACACACACACACACACACACACATATATATATATATATATATATATATATATATATATATATATATATATATATATATATATATATATATTAGAATATATTCAGAAGGAATACATATATATATATATATATATATATATATATATATATAATGAAGGAAACAGCATCTGTACAGCGGCATGGTGGCAGCGGCACCATCAAAAACCTTGAAAAGACACTTTATCCGTAACATCTTCTACCGTAAATATATGGATGCAATCTAAAAATCGACGAGAAGGCATTGAAAACTTGAGTGCCCAAAATTGTAACAGTGGTAGACGGGAATGTGCTTCGGTCGCAGATAGTTTACAAAATCGTAAAGCTAGAGATTCTTCATAAAAAACAAATACAGAATTGTTGAAGGGCACCAAGGTAGTTCTTGCTCCAACGAAGATTACAGGCTTCGTTTCGTATCCTTTATTATTGTAACAACAATATCCGTCCCAACGCCTCGCAATGCACCTCACGGAAGGGGCACCAAAAGACCACACGCAATACGACCGCAGTACTCGTCTCACGCGCCAAATGCTTACACACAAAGCACTGAAATTTCAGCACCCGCAAACGACAGAAGAAAGCTCAACATTCTAGAGCTCACTCATTCATGACCGCACGCCAGTCCTACGCAGGCAAATTCATCAAAATTTTGATTTATCTCCATGGAGCAGCATCCCAATAAATCACACAGACCAAAAACATGGCACCGATGAAACCACGAGGGCATCGAGTCATCGGCATGCAGTATTGTGGGTTGTCATGTTGATTGTGTAGATGACAGTGAGGGATGTTAATGATGCCTTCTGCACGGCTAGGGGATGGTCTGCTTTTGCCCGGCCAAAACGGCAATGAGGGCTATTCTATGAGAAGTTCATGGTAGTTTGACTACTCATGTTTTATGTGCTGATTTGAAATGTGTCAGTTGCCAACACGAGATGAAACGCTCAAGCTGGTTGCAAAAGCTCAAGGCTATAGAAAATGCATCTAGCTATTGAACATTGAGCAGCTTTACACCACTGAGCATTGCTTTCCAGAACTGACAGAGCATGTGTCCGAAACCTTAAGCACGGATGGTGTCATAAGATGACACATGTATTTAGGTGAGCTGTTTTTTAATCTAATCGACAATATTAGAGCAACGCTTGAAAGGTCGAAAATATTAACCGGAAGCTATCCAAAGCACAAAATGTCATTCTTCTCAAAGGTCTAATATACTCACACACACACACACACACACACACACACACACACACACACACACACACACACACACACACACACACACACACACACACACACACACACACACACACACATACACATATATGTATATGTATATATATATATATATAATATATTATATATATATATATATATATATATATATATATATATATATATTTATATATATTATATAATTATATATATATATATATATATATATATATCGAATGTTGGGAGCCAACCAAACGGGACCAGCTTGGCCCGCTCTGTCGCGCTGAGGTTTTGATTGACTAACGGAGGAAAGTGTGTAGACAGCTGAACAAACTGGGTCAACCTGATACGAGCGGCCTTTTTTGAGTATACTGTACAGCACATACAGCTCTCCGCAGTCCTGTCCGGCAGCAAGAGCGCAGGAAAACTATTTGATAGGCCGGATCGACTTGCCAAAGGTGGTAGGCACCAACAAACGCGCGACAACCTCTGCATAGCAAGTGCAATGAGCAGAAGCCATCCATGCATAGTATCGGATACCACACATATTTTTCAATCTGGGAGGGTGGACCAGCGGGGGCGCGCGGAGGCGCGGGCCGTTCCGCGGGTCATGGACAGCCAGCGCCCTCTGGCAAGTTCACTACAGAATCATCAAATCACAGCGTGCTACGCCGTAGTCTGGTGGGCTGGCAGCACTTCTGACGTTTCTCGGTGCACTTAAGCGTCGGTTCTCCAAAAGTGATGTTGTTTTTGTAATCGGTGTTAACAAAGTCTGTAAATCAATTTAAAAAAAGCTCCGAGATGACCATCTTATGCACAAAAGCCTCCCCCAAAAACAGGAGCATTCCTTCATTCATGCTGTAACTCTTGCAACACAAATTTGCAACCGAAATCAATGATGTCGGTATCAACAAGGAAGCACTGAAGTACCTACGTTGTGATTCCAGAACAGACACGATTTTTACATTTCCTACAATCGAATAAAGATAGACTGGGTCTGGTCATGGTCATGGTCACAATGCTTGGCGCATTGCTCAAAACCGTACCATCAGGGTTGCCTAGAAAACACAAAAGCATGCTATAATCATAGCCAACTGGCTAGTTCAATCACAATTGATGTGTTCTGTGTGTCAGTAAAACATTCAGAGGGCAAAACAGACTGCCATATCGTCGCCCTCTCGCTCAGAAAGTGCGAGATTGGAAGGAATCCACAGGAAGCGTCGTCGAACATCGCATTGTTATTTTTTAAAGTTAAAAGTGCTGTACAATCTAGCGAAGGTTGAGGATATGTTAAGTTAATTCCACTCTTAGCAGCATCCATTTGCCATGGTAGGGCCGTCATACCTCAAAATGAATTGGAGGAGGGCGTGCTGGACAGAACATCTACCTCAATATTCCTCCAATATAGCTCAAAACGGGCTTGTTATCTCCGGACTCAGCCCACTATTTCTCTAAATTAGGGGGGGGACAGCTGAAATCCTGAACAAACAGGAAGCAACGCCCCTGTACTCTGCTCCTCTGGCTGAAGATGGTATCCGCATCTGTACAGCGGCTTGCTAGAGCTTTGAAGAGTCGCGACATCACTTGAGGCATCACTGAAGCAAAAATTACCTCCACTGTTTTGCACAGGTTGAGATAAACCCTGTCAGAAAAACCTAGTCACGGAATCAACGAAGTCCTCCAACCCAGACATGGATATCTAACCCGTGTACAAAGCTAGTGAGGGTAGACATCACTGTTGCCCCCGCTGGTGAGTAGGTATCGCATTGGGCTGTCACTTTCGATGACTTGGCGCGTCCGAGCCGGTGTGTGGTGCTGACCTGCTGCACTGCGCCTCCTGCCCTCCGTCTGCAGGGAATTCCAGTTCCACTGCCGCTTATCTGACCTTTCCGGCTTTGAAAACAGAATAGCATTACGTAGCAGCTGGTTTTTATTGAGGCAGGCCGCAGACAGGTCCGACAGGCAACATGCAGGTGGCATTCAACAATGGCAACCATCTTTAGGTAATGGGCTGTTACGATATCGAAAGCCCATTTAATAAACTGTCATATGTTGGGACTTGATGACATGAATACGCACGCAGGCATAATGCTCCCAGAGTGGAGAATGGATGTAAAGGAACTCTAAAATGCTGAGAGCTTAACTTCATGACACACGCGTGAGACCGATCACGGAATAATACACTCAGCTCAGGCGTGCGGCCTGAGCTGAGTGTATTGTTCATATGTTCAACTTAATGTTCATAACGTTGAATACGCCAAGATAGTGATTGTTATCGCCCATGTGCAGGACTAAGTAACCACCAGAAATGAACCTGGCGCACATCACCACTTCTGCCAAATCAAAGCACATTTTCAACGAAGACGGACGGAAACGCGCTCATATGCCAACGTGATCACGGATACTGCGCACGAACATGTTCAACTAAGAACGTGACGAAGACTGAGCCCGTGTGTCGGTGGGCTCCTCATCACCAGCCCATCACCTCACCTTCATCCACCGCCCGCGCACTGTCACCGAACCACGCTCGCCACACCCGCCTGCTCTGCGCCGTTCAGCGCCGCGGCCGCGTCGCATCTGCCGTCGCGCCGAGCCTCCGCCGGCCGGCGCGATTGTAGGTTAGCGGCGCCACCGGCGCGGCCGGCGCGGCGGTGAACAGGGCCAGCCGCGCCTCTTATAAAACGGCCCGCGCCGACCGAAGAGGCAGAGTGCCGCACAAGCAGCCCTACGATACACATCCAGTAGCCTAGGCCACCCAGGTACGTGGCTGCCGGTGTGTGAGCGTGTCTGTGAGAGCGAGGAGCCGCGATCCGAGACGGAGTCGGAGTCGGAGTCGGTCCAGTGCGCGGACGTGGGACGGCGCGGCCTGCAGTGACTCGGACCAAAGCCGCACCGTCTGCCACCGCGTCTGGTGTGCGCCGTGTTGACCAGTGACGCCTCGGCCAAGCTGCCTTCCCTCCCCCTCTTCATTCGCCCGGTCAAACCCCTGGTTGTGCAGATGCCTTGAAAACTGTACATTTATCGGTAGACGTTATTATTCAGACTCGCTCCGAACTATTGCTTCCTCATCTCCCCAATTTTGGTTAATTGGCTGTTGAAGCGCTCAAAGCTTGTCAAATTTAATGATTTGCCATGACCTCTACGAATCGTTTGCTTGTCCGTGCAGAGTCCGAAAGAATAGAGCCTTTAGTCTTATACGCCTAAGCGACACATGCATCGAATTTCAAACGTCCAGACATTAGCATATGGGTTCCAAAAATGCTCAGGCATCTTTGCGAACGGACTCAAAGCCAAGGATACTAAATTAACAAATTCATGATGCTAGTTCCATGGCCTTTCAGTCATAACCGGCTTCCGCAGTTGCATCATCGGTATAGCCGGACACCGGTTGAACTTGACAGTGGTTGTTACCGGTCTGAGCCTGCTGTCACTACGTGTGGCTAGTTCTTATGCCGCGACCGCTTCTCAGCACGTGCGCCCCCCCCCCGCGGCAGAGGTCGTTGCGTCGCTTCGGTCCAGGACGTAACTGGCGCGGTGGTATGCGTCGCGACTCCGACCGAGCAGGCGTGGTCAGATCACTGCTGGCTCCTGCCGGGCACGGTGGGACCGGGACCCCTCCAAGGGACACCGGGGCCGGGACCACTCCGAGTAGGACTGGACTGGGAACACTCAGAGCGAGACCAGGATCGGGACCACTCCGAGTGAGACCAGGACTGGAACCACTCAGAGCGAGACCAGGACCGGGACCACTCCGAGTGAGACCAGGACCGGAACCACTCCGAGTAAGACCGGGACCGGGACCACTCCCAGTGAGACCAGGACCGGGACCGCTTCGAGTGGGACCCAGACCGGGACCAGTACCACTCCGAGCGAGACTGGGACCGGATTCCCTAGGAATGTGCCTGGGATCAGTGGAGGTTTGGATGCTGTCCTATGACTCTGGTGTGTGACCTGTCATATAGGAACCTTCGGCTGAATCGTAAATTGTCGTCTTTCGTGTCAAGAGTATTCTGGTCATTGTTTTTTTCTGAAATCATCATTGTAGAACATGAACTGATCCGGTAATTCATAGAAAATATCACGTCACCCATGTTAAACATTGCATGTTTACTTTGGATTATTACGAGACTGTCCTTGCCACTTGAGCTCAAGTAAAAACATTTCCTTTGTTGCCGTGGATCTATTTCTAGCGTGCCGTTTTCTATGCGTGCGATGTGACCGTGCACTGCTGTACAAAGCTGTACATACACCATCACCCGGCCGGCGCGATGGCGGCTCATTTGACGGCGAGGCCCCCGGACCCGCCCGTCCCGCCCGGCTGCGTCCCTTCAGGCCAGGCGGAGTGTGCCAGTGCACTTTCGCGCTGGCGTACGGGCCCCGCCACCGCCGGCCGCTCGCCTCCGCCCGGCCGCCGTGTCCTCACGACACACTGACCGGGCGGGGGCAAGGAGTCAGTGGGTGGCGGCCGCGGCCGTGGGCGAAGGTTGCGGCGGGTTCGGTGACCGGTGCGGCGCAGTCCCGTTACCGGCCGCCAGCCCACTGGCCCGGTAACGGGCTGACCCCAGCCCAATGAGCCGCCGCCGCGCCGCCTCTAACATCGGCTCGTGCGTGCGCGTGGCGCACAGACCTGCACATAGCGCCTCAACCGTATCTTGTGCACTTGCAGGACCGTTCAGAATGAACCGTACTCTGTGCGCGCTCGTGGTGTTGCTCGTTGCGGCCACCGCACACGCCAACGAGCTTAGCAATGTTTACGACGAGGCTGAGCCCGATCCCCGCTTCTTCTTTATCAACTCCAACTCCACCTCGCTGTCCGTATCCTTCACCTCGCTGATCTACGGCCTGTTCGCCCTGCTGGCCCTGGGCCTGCTGGCCGCCCTGCTGGCCTTCTTCCTGTTCGGCTCGGGCGGGGGCGCCGACACCGGCTACTCGGGCTCCTCGTACAGCTCCTACGGCTCGGCCAGGGCTGCCGCGTACGTATACACCCAGCCGCCGACCGGCGGCGTAACAGGGAGGTGGCGGGGACATGGACCGGGCGGCGGGCGGCACCGCACGCTGCTGCCCGCCCCCCTACGCCTACAGACTAAACAACACCATATCGACAGGTAAGGCGGCGAGCGAACAGCGCCCCACACTCCAACAACAGGGTGATGGCAGGACGCCCTCATGGAGATGCCGGCACCGATGGAGGGTGCGAATTCGGCTCTCGCTACGACTTGGCATGCAGTCAGCCGGAGGGTGCATCGCAATTCTCCGCGACATTACATCGGTGTAGGATCACATCGACATCGACATCGACGATCACAGCATCACATCGACATCGACTCACAGGACCATCAGCGGAAGATTGCTTTGGTCTCACGGCTTCACTCGACCCACGGTCGACAACATTTCCGCATCAAACACTATCCCGCTCAGCCCTCGGGTTAGCTCCCTCGCCTTGCCGGGAGGCAGGGACGTGCAGCCAGCACGCGCCGCCGGCAGTGCCTGTCCGGCCTCGGCGGCGGCCTCGTCCAGCTCTGGCAGCCTTCCGTCGGCCAGCCAGCAGCCCACACAACCGCTCGCTGTTCACAGGAAGCTAAGCCATGTTGCAGCACATCCTCCTCGCAGCCCTGTGCGCCTCGGCGCTGGCCCAGGGGGCCGTTGAGCCCGCCGACCAAGACCTCGCGGCCGACCCGCGCATTTTTTTTCAACAACAACAACACGAACCTGACTATCGGTCTGAACTCGTTGATCGCGGGCGCGCTGGCGGTTCTGGCCGGGCTGGCCCTGCTCGCCGGCCTCGCCTACCTCGCTTACCTGTTGTTGGGCAACTCGGGGACCGGGTACAGCGACTATAGCGGGTATGCCGACTCCGGCACCAGCGGCTACAGTGCCCGCTCCTCTGACGCGTACGTACCGGCCTGACCTCTCCCGCATGTGTGCCGCTGTTGCAGATAACAGCATGTACGCTCATTTGTGGCTGTGTGCGCTTGTGGCTGCCGCCGCGGCGCAGGGTGCTACCACGCAGAGCCCGACAGGCGTCGAGCCCCGCTTTTTCTTCCTGGGCAACACGACGGGTGTGACGATTAGTCTGACGTCGCTGTACGCTTCCATCCTGGCTGGCGTGGCTGGTCTGCTGCTGCTCGCCGGCCTGGCCTACCTGGTCTTCCTCTTGAGCGGGGACACCGGGGAGACGGGCTACTCCGGCGGCGGCAGCGGCCACTCGGGCTACTCAGCCCGCTCCGCGTACGTACACGGCTGCCGCGGAGGGTGCCCCAGCCAGCGCAGTCAGCCGCCCGCCCGCCCGCAGCCCCGGGACCGGGAGGGAGGGAGGGAGAGGCGCAGCAGCAGGAGAGAGGTAAGTCGTGGCCGATCTGCATCAGCTCGGAGGCGCCTCCTGAGACCCGCTCCACCCCGCATGCCTCGGGCCGCCAGCCTGGCGTTCTCTAACATTCATCGTGTCTCACTAACAGCTGTGACGTGGCGTGCGCGTGGCGACCGACCTGCCCGAGCGCGTGACTGACCTCCAGCCGTCACATACTAACATGCTCCCGATCTCCACTCCTTACAGACTAACAACACACCATGAGGAGAGTGAATGCGCTAACCGCCGCCCTCAGCGGCCTTGCCCACACAGCGGCCGACCTCTCCGCGCCGGCCGCTGTCCTCTCGACCTCGACTGGCCGCCAGTCGACGTCAGTCCTCACTAACGTCTCCATTGACGTCCTGTCTCTGGGCTTCGCTCTGACCGGCTTGGCGACCCTGCTGCTCTTCATACCGCCCCTCATCTCCTTCCTCTCCGAGCTGTTCCGACGGATAAAAGGCGGCGGCGGCGGTGCCGGGTACGATAAGCTTGACACGTCGGGGTACTCGTATGACTACGACGACTCGGGCTACCGACAGCGCAGGTGAGTGCTCTCGCTGGTGCGGGGCGCGCTTGGCTCCCGCTGCCGTGCGGCGTGTTCGGATATGTGTCGTGTGTGCTGAGGCTGACCTGAGGATGACCTCCCTGTACATATCCCCTCCTCGGCGCCAGCCCGGCACCCGATTTTCACGCAGTCTTCATTTCCAGGCGTCATGTCCCAGTCGTTGACCCTCGTCCTCCTTTGCGCGGCGACCGCGAGCGCCTTCGAGGTCGCTGACCCTCTGCAGGAAGAGCTCGATCCCCGCTTCCTCTTCTTCAACTCCACCGGCGCGCTGATCCCCATCGACGCCACGGCCCTTTTGGCCGGGATCGGCTTCCTGGTGATCCTCACCCTCCTCGGCATCGGCATCTGGCTGCTCGTCTCCTCCCTGGCGCCTAAACTGGCGGTCGGGGGTGGCGGCTATGGCGGCTACCACTCCGGCGGGTACGGCGCCGGACATAGCGGCGGCTCCTCCTACTCCGGATATCAGGCCAGGTACAGACCGAGCTGTACATACGCCCTCCATCTGTACATAGCGCGAGCGCGCGACAACCGCTAACGTCACGGCTGCGCACCCGTTGACGCACTGATGACGCGACCAAAAGCCCCGGCGCCGACGCGCTAACCGCCTCCTTCTTTTCGTAGCATGTACAGGCAGCTGCGCGCCGGACTCCTTGTACAGCTGCTGTGGGCAGCGTGCGCGGCGCGCGGCACGTGGTCGGCCGCCGAGCTCGGCAGCTCCGCGGTAGAGTCGGCCGTCGCCAGCCCCGTGTCGCGGGCCGACCTGTCCGCGCTCGGCCCGGCCGCCTCCGGGTCGTACGTGGCCGAGCTGCCGGCCGGCGCCGAGCAGACCGCCTTCCCTGACTACGCCGCCTACCCGCCCTACTCCGCCTTCCCGCCCTACCCGTACCCGTACCCCTACAGCGCCTACCCGGCGTCGGTCAGCGCCCCGTCGGCGTCCGACGGCGACACCTCTCGCCTGTTCAGCTCCATCGGCAGCGCGCTGAACCCCGCCAACCTGTTCTCCTGCCCCGGCGGCGACACGGGTTGCGTCGTGCAAAAGATCGCCGCCGGCGTCTTTATTCTGGCAGCCATCGGGCTGGCCGTGTACTTGGTATACGCGCTGGTAAACGGCCAGTTGGGCTCGTTCAATCTGGGCAGGTAAGCCTCAGCCTGCGTGTTGCTCGTGTCGACTGACTCAGCACGCCTGTCGAGGCCGTAGCACAGTTGTCACGGCTAACCAAACGTACGAGAAGAGCGCGCGCTGGCCGACCAGGGGTGGGGAGGGAGGAGGGGAGCGAGCGGAAAGCGCCACTAATCTAGAACCACGATGTACAGTGTACATAGCCGCTGCGTCGATACGGCCGCGTCCGCCTCGCGCCGCCTCAGGGCGTGACCCGCGTCCTCCGGCCAACCCTGTACAGCGCCACCGCCACCGGCGCGGTCCGCCTCACCTGGCCTGGTCCCGGCCGCGTCTGTACAGCCTGCCCCGCCCGTCTGCGACCAGGTCGCCTTCGGCACGGGCGACGCATATTCTAACACGCCTCTGATCTGCAGCCGGGACGGGCCCGTGCCAGCGGCAGGTAGAGTGTCCCGCTGACTGGGTGGAGGGGCGCATGGCCGCAAACTAGCAGCTGTGGTAGCGGCGCAGCCGCGCCACGGCCGGGTACCGCTCTGTAGAATAGCGCTTTCAGTGTTGTGGCAGTAACACTGAGTAACTCGCTGCTTACTGGCTGCTTAATACTGCTTCGTGTGCGCTTTATTCTGTGTCGTTTTTTTTGTTACTTGTCGGCATATTTTCTGCAAACTTACAGATTTTTTTTGTTTGTTACATAGAGCATCGCTTTCAAGCCTAAGTTCTCCGATCCAACTTTTACACTTGTTTTCATAGTCAAATTAAGAAGACAAGCTTTTCCACTTGCACATCTGAATGTTGATTTCGAGCCTCACAGTAACGTACCTCGCTCAAGTACGACGGAGCGTGCCGTTCCTCCCAGCATTGTGACGCCACGCTGTGACCTCAGGTCTGCTGACCCGTACTCCGCCATCTGGGACAAGATGTCCGTGCTCGACTGGATCGCCATGATGGAGGAGGTGGGTTCCAGTTTTGGCGTGCCGCCCTTCGCACGCCTCCCGTTGTTCCCGCCCACTGTCAAGGTTACAATCGCTTCGTGCCGCGCCGCGCGTGCGTGACGTCCGCGCCGGAGCAGCAGGCCCGCCGGCGCCGTTTTTGCCGCACTGAACCCGGCTCTGACGTGACGCCGCCGCACGCAGGTGTACCGGAAGTTCGACGCCACCAGCCTGGAGTGCCAGCAGCGCCTGGTGTGCGAGCTGCACCAGAACGAGAACTCCTGGGGCACCACCGCGCGCAAGATGAACGACGCCTTCAGGTGAGCCGTGCACCATGCTGCAAGGCATGCCGCTGAAAATCCTCCGCGCCTCGCGGCTCTTGCGTTCTTCGGGCGGCCCATTCCCTATTTTGCTAGCCTCAAAGAGTGGGGCGGGAAAATGCGTTCGATGTCTATCCGGCTCAGGTAGCGGCTAATTAGTCCGGAACGGGCTCACGGGTGCGGCTGGTTTACCGCCGGCGCCCGGCGGTCACGGGGCTGAACGAACGTAACGCTTTCGCGCCGGTGCGACCCGGCGCCGGTCCACTTCTGAGCCGGGGCCGGGTACGAGCCTCCATCTGGGTCAGGTGTCCAGCCGGCGCGTCACCCCGGCGCCCATCGGCGCCCCAGCTGGCCCGCTGCCGGCGACCGTTACACCGCCTCGCGAGCGACGGCGCCATCTGACGCCGGCCGACGGCGGAGCCATCTGCCGGCGGCGCGTGACACTGACCGGCACCTCCCGTCGGCAGCTACCTGCAGTACATGGAGCTGCTCAACCTGCCCTCCGAGCTCCGCATGCTGCTGGATGAGTACCTGGACGCCGCCAACAAGGGCCGGACAAGCGAGAAGAGCTGCGCCGACCACTTCGCCGGCTGCGAGTTCAGCATGAAGACCCTCATCAGCAAGTACAACGGCTCAAACGCTCTCTGAACGTCGGCTCCCCGGTCCGCTGCTTGTTAACGATCCCGTTGTTAACTTATTAATAGTTATTTATTGACGCGTGTGACGAATACGACGCCAGTGACAGAATGCCAAATGGACGAAGACAGTGTGTGCTTGTACTGACCGACTGAGACGCACGTGCACAGGCAGGACGGGTGACGCATGACATAGGGTAGTCCTCCATTCGAATCTTCATACCCATCCCGCGTGTTACGCGGTAGAGACACTAGTAGTTGCGCCACGCAGCATTCATGCATTCGTAACGAGTAGTGTCAGTAGCTACTGCGGTTAGTCGAACACATGACTACGGCCGTTGCGCGACTCAGAGACGTCGTGGGGGAGGGGGGATTCGGTGTGAGCAACCCTCGACTGGCGGCGCCGGGCCTCCGGACCCTCCCGCCACTCAACGCTAGACTGTGACTTGTTTGTTGACCAGTACTTGTTGATTCTTGCTCATGCCTCTGACAGGGATTGTTTGTTGTTACCCGCTGCCTCCCCAGACGTGACGCCTCGGATATTACTGTGTTATTTATTGCATCTGCTCGACCACAATTGACGTGATAAACCGCAATGCGACGGGAAGTATGGCAATAAAATTCCTCTTCATATATACGACGGACAATGTTTTTATTACTCTGATCGAGTATGACGCGTGAACGACTAGAAAAGCCCCGTCGGAACATCGGGGCAGAGCTCGCAGTCTTACGATAGTGATCGGTGCGAGAGGACGCGTTCGACACTGGTGAGGTTACGCCACCCTGGCTCGACTGGAGAGAGTGTGGGGAGGGGAAGGGGGGAGGGTAGGCGTCATGGGAGCGGCGGCCGCCCACCGAGACCTTCTCCGTCATGGGCCTGGCGCTGATCGATCGGGCCAGCAGTTCCGGGTTTCTCCCCTTACCGCGTCAACTTTCGCCGCCGACTAGGGCGCGGTTTCTGCCCATCCGGGCTTGGCAGAATAGCCTCGGAGCCCGGCTTGCCGCGGTCCCCCAGGTGCCCCCCCCCCCCCCCCGGCGGCGGGTCTGCTGCGGTCTCTCGGGTCTCCCCGGCAGTGGCCTCCTGAGGACGAAAACTGTCCACGACAGTCTGGGCCCTGGGGGTCCGTGCCTGTATCCAGGACGGATCTGGTGTGACGTGGTCTGGCCCGGATAGGTCCGGTGCCAGGCCCCGATGAGCCAGTGACGCCGGTCTCTGTGACGTACCTCACCATCGAGGCTTTTCTCCACGTCGGCAGCGGTCTGTGCGCTTCCCCGTAATTGCACCCAAGCTAGCCCAATTAAATGACGCAAGCCGAACTGGATCGCAGATCTCGGAGCTACGGGCGGGGTTCTGGCTCTTGCTCTTGGCGGCACCACGTGTTTCACTGAGGTTCACACGAGCGGGCGCGAGAGAACTTTCTAACCTATGCCAACCTGAGGCTTTTACCGTGGGCAAGTTTCGGTCCACATTATGATGCAGACAGTCGTTAGGCGTCACGCCGTTCCCCCCCTCCCCCCTCCCCCACCCGTCGGCGGTCCGCGAACCCGGCACCACCCACGCAGACGGTGGCCTGAGGTGTATGGTCAGAGTCGCAGCCAGGTGCGTCTTGCCAGAGCCAGCGGGCTCTCTGCGCCAATAGTCGGATGGCTGTGCTAAGTCGGAATATAAGTTCGGGCCCGCTGCATGCCGGTCTGGTCTGGAGCCGTCTACGCCCAGTCTGACCAGTGCTGGGTGCAGCCATCGGTCTGTCTGTGCACAGCCAGGTGAGCGGATAGTTCGATCGCAGTCAGAAAGCTGCTTGGCTGTCGTTAGGGAAAGCCTACCTGAACACAGCCGGACCATCGAGGTGCAGTCGGCTATCCGGCTGGACACGGTGGAGGCTAGCTCGACATTGTATGCAGCCAGGGAGCCAACTGGAGCGCGGCTCATTACGAGCGGACGTGCCCGGATCGCCGTCAGCCGGCGCAGTCTCACGCCGCTGGCGGCGTCGGCTTTCTATTTTTGAGCCAGAGAAATGCTGACCCGAAAGCTGCCAGCCGCGGGGGCCCGGCTCCATTAGAAATTCCCGGCCGGCGACACGCTTCCACTGGTGGTCGGACGGCGGCGACCGCCAGCCGGCCGGGCCAGATGGCTGCTCCGGACCGAGACGGTGCTCCGGGGAGGCTGAGGAGCCCCGCTGGACACAGCCGCTGTCCGGGCGAGAGGCGAGGGATGACTCGGCACTCACGTCAGCTCCCTCCCTCCCCCCCCCTCCCTTCCCCGCCCCAGACGCGGCTCAGCCGGATTTGTGAAGCGTTTGGACGTTCTCCCAGCCTGTTAGAGGATGATGCGGAGAAGAAGAAGAAGAAACTTTTGGAGATGCGGGTGAACTCAGGCCGTGCATTAAGCGCCCTTTACAAGTATTTGATTTCCCCCTCTATGTAAAGTTTTACACCCAACCTCTTATCACCGACACTCATTACCACCCAGCCCGTGGTTTCAAACACCACGGGAGGGGGGGGGGGGACGCTAGCTGACTCGAACCATTATCTAGTCCTCTACTCCGTCGTGACATACATGGTCGGTAGCATTTACTTCCGTACGCACGTGCCTGATGTGCTATCTGGCTCACATCAACTCCGCCGTCTTGAAGGACTCGTCGACCTGGCTGAACACTCAAAGTCCCCTGAACTACCATTATCACTCGGCCCATTCATTGGTTTCCCACCTTTAAAAGTCCCAGAACTCTGACTGCAATGATTCTCTTGCTGTTTCGATGCTCCGTTGACTGGCGGGTCTTTCCTGACGGTCTTACAGGGTCTACCTCATCGGGTATTGCGCTGGTGGATCCTTAACTCAGGTGGTGTCTTACCGAACGCACCATGTTTGCGGCGCTCCATGGAAGGTTGGGGCTAAGTTCCCTGCTTAAAAATCCCCTTCGTTAAAGCCGTTCACACTTTATGCCGCAACATTCTGCAGAGCTTTGTCGTCGATATGGGTGTTATGAGAGGAAGTCACGTGTAGTAGCATTGCGGCGCAGTATTCCTGGCACGACGTACACAATAAGCCGAAGTAATGATGGAAAAGTAATGTTGCCACAGTTCTAGGTTTGCTGATGCAGAATATGCTTATCAAACTGCGATTTTCTGCGCGTCCCAGAAATCACAGCGTTCGCGAGTTTTTTTGTGGGCCCCGATCCTTTTGGGAACCAGCCCAATTAATTCAGTCTCTCTAGGCGAAAGCCGGCCCAGTCCTGGCCGGGTCTGGTGCCGCGGTACCTCAAAGCAGTCGACTTCCTTCATCGGAACGACTAGAGCGGGATGCGTCGTCTGTGATGGCCTCCGCAACTGCTCCGTGGCGCCAGCTGGGGCGATCAGACCGCCACGCGCGAGCCGCCACGCGCGAGCCGCCACACTCGGGCCACCACGCTCGAGCCGCCACGCTCGGGCCACCACGCGCGAATCGCCACGTTCGGGCCACCACGCGCAGGCCGCCACGCTCGGGCCGCCACGCTCGGGCCGCCACGCGCGAACGCCACGCGCGGGCCGGATTGGTCGGTTCACATGTCACGAATGGATTTATTGAATTAGGTTCATTGGATTGGATTGTTAGATTCGATGGATTTACGATTCGCGATGATCGACCGTTCTGAATGCCTAACCCAAGCTGCCTGACGCTGATTTTCGTAGCAGGAATCACTTCACGTTTTAAGTTCGTTTCGAATCACTTCGTTTTCAACGTCAGAATGAAAATAACACTATTCCCCAGTACCTGTATGACTTGTGCTAACTCACAATTCAATCCTGTCCAATCAGAGCAAATCAGAGGACGTCCAAGGAATTATAGCATAGTACTAATTGTGTAGCTTCAGGGACATTCAATGCCAGCATTTAATCAACTCCCGTTGATAGTTTACTCTCGGTATACAGTCGTCCTAAGCCGCTGTCCTTCTCCATCAACACTCGCATCAAGAGCAGCTATTGCGTTTGCAAACGTTGCTGCCTTGTGACGTAATTTCCAGATCTTTAATCTTCAATCTTTTGCACACTGGGTTGGATTTTTCATTAGCCGTGTACAGATTTTTCAAACGTGGGAGTGAGCGAAGGAAGTGAGTGAACGAAGGTGCTGGTGTTACAGGTGTTACAGCCATAGCTGCATGTACACTTACATTGGATCACAAAATGCAATCATTCGCGCATCGCTCACGTGTTGCGGATACGCAAAGGCCTTTCACAATGAATGAATGTCGTGAGAAAGGCGAGGAACGGATACCAGTGAAAAGGAAGAGGAAGACATGCTGAATCAGAGTCTAAGTTGGGGTAAAGTTTGGGAAGGACAAGGGTGGGTAAGGATGGCGCGCTCTACTCCTAACATCGCACCCGTCTCGCGGGTGTTCAACGGCGCCTGAGTGCCGCATTAGGCGAATGGCGGAAATGACCCAGTAAATTCACCATTTTACTCCGGGAGTAACATTGTCTGCATATAAGCAAAGAGCTGTTCTTTGTGATGGCGGGAGAATGTTTCACATTTAAAGATATTGAAGCAAGCATCAAATATGGCGAAACAAGATCACTCACAACTATTGGTATACTTTTCAAGTGGAAAAGGATGCTTTAGACAGCACGATTCTCTGTTAAGTAAATATGCTTCTCAATGCGTCATGGTTGAATTACATCATCGCACCTTGCACAAAATTGATTGAGAGCCAATTGGTGGGCGTTATATGTGGAAATCGCGCTCACGAACGCCAAATATGAATGCCACAACCATGACATATTTTGGCTTGATCCCCGCATGGCTCATGAAAGGGCAGGATTTGAATGACGTTATAATGACGTTACGAATGCCAAGGGGACTTTGAAATACTATCCCGGTAAACCTTTTCCCGTTTTCGCGGCTGTGTAGCTCAGAAACTAGAGTGGCCTAGGTCTTAAGGAGGGAAGGATTTTGAACAGCATCGAAAGTTGCCCGAGATGACGATTTCAGTTCGAAACCCCATATAAATGTGGAACATTCGCTTCAACAGACTCTGCCTTGAGGCTCACTCGGCGTGCATCAAAAGGTGTTTTGTTGCTGGCCGACCTGCATAGCTGTCCTGGCAATTGGAAAGCTCGAGCAACTCAACGAAAAAACATCACAGAGTACAGATGCTGATCCTGATTCTAAAACATGCACAGGCCCATAGACATGAGTCACGTGACACCCCAGGACTGTCGTCAGCCAGACGTCACCGGCACGGCTCGGGACAAAAGAGAGCCGGGAGCCACGACCCCCGGCTGCCCACACCACTGCGAGACAGTTCCCTCCTCGGGTCCGCGACCCCTGGCTGCCCACACCACTGCGAGACGGCTGACCCATCCCCGGCTCAGCGCCCAAACCACTAGTTGCCATGGACCTCAGCGAGAACTCTCGCTTAGAATCTCTGGACCTCTAACACCACGAAATCGTGAGCCTTAACCCACCGGTCCGAATCTCCGCAGGCGAGCGTTCCGCGCTCGAGACAAAGGTACACAATCCCGTGTGTTTATTGAAAGCTTTAACGCCCAAGGCATGACGGAGATGGTATTTTGGCGAAAGCGTAAGCTTGCGCTGCTTCCCAGTTGTCGAGCAAATACACACGTGCCTAACGCAAATACCCCAGCCACTCGCCACCTCCATCT